TATTCTCTATCTATCTATCTATCTATCTATTCTTTCTTAATACAAGGTCACACTATGCAGTTCAAGGTGAACTTGAACTCATTCTGAAGCCCAGGCTGGCCTCGAACTCACAGCAATCCTCCTGCCTCAGCCTCCCAAGTGCTGGGATTACAGATATACGCCACCACCCTCTGCTCAAATTTTTTTCTTTATATTTTTAAATGATTTTCTATTTTGATGGCATGTCTTTCTGAACTGTTATTTGATTTTATTCATGCACGCGCATACAAAGGAGCAGGTGTCCTAATCGTCTTTATTAGGAACCCACTCCCAAGACAGTAGCATTAATCCGCATGAGGTCAAGAGTCTTCAAGACCTAATCAACTCTCAAAGATTCCATCTCTCCACATTATTGAATCAAGAGTGAATGTTTCAATATGTGAACTTCAGAGGACAAATTCAAACCATGGCAGAGTACTTTTCATAGAACAATTATCAATATCACCTTGATCTAGTATTCCCTGAAGCAGTTTGGGAAATATGATCATATAACTTATGGTGGCATAACATGATATCAGGGCATAGGCACAGATGGGAAGTGGTGAGATCCCATAAAAATAGGGAGAGAGACCCAAAAGATAATTTCTCTTCTCAAATTTGCTTTGAGTGGGGCTGGGGATTTAGCTCAGTGGCTCTGCCACCTGCCTTGAAAGCACAAGGGCCCGAGTTCGATTCCCGGTACAAAGAAAAATTGCTTTCACTCAGCTGATCATGCTCTGAATCTCCCTCTTAGGTTTGCTCTCTGAAGGTAGTGTTCAAGAGTTTTAGCTTCTATCCATACTACCTTAGCCTGTTTTGTTGTAAATAGAGATTAGGCCTGATCTGATCCAACTCTTTTTAGTTTATCCAGAGGGCAAGCATCTAGGGTCCTTAAACTAAAGAGAAGACCCCAGCACTTAATGATTCATAAAAATTGCAGCTAGAAGTTGTCATAGGTCTTAGACATTTCATCAATTTTCAATGATTTATGCGAATGGAGAATATTTGTAAGTCAGATTCGTCTGTGAAGTCTGACAAAGTCTTATACCCCTTTGATACAAATATATAATATAAAGCATTAAAAGCCAAACCAAGCACATACTGTAAATAAAGAACTTTTACAGTTACCTTAAAAATGGTGATACAGTACAATATCACTGTAATAAACTATTTTTACAGTTTCCTTAGCATGGTGGTACACTACAACTGTTGTAAAGAACAAGCAACATCTATCATCTTTTCCATTCTCTCAATTATTTTCAATTTTTCCCCAAGTTTATTGTTTTGCACTTCCTAGCACTCTCTTCACATCACCACTGCTTTTCGTCTTGCTTCCAGACATCCTGAGCTCTGAATGAGTCCTGTGCTACTGTGCACTATCGGACTCTACAGTAAACACAGCAGCACAGCTGTGACAACGTCTGGCAGAAACGTGAGCTACGTCCAGGATTTGTTCCCATCTGCAAATGTACCTAATGCAAGGCCCTTTCCAGGCTGTGAAAGTTTGCAACTCTAATGTTCAGAAGTTGGGGACTCACTGTATTTTCCTGCTAGTGAATAAATTTGAGCACAGCAGATAAGAATATTTTCCAAGAGCATCACTAGACCTGAGGCTATCAAAAGAAGGATGGGTCTAGCAAGTCTACTCTATCTCTGATGGCAAAAGAACCTACGTTGGGCCTCCTAGATTCTCACCTTCATGAGTTTAGCTGTTTCCCTGGTGAATAACTTCAGGAGCAAAAAGGAGCAAATTACTGATGGTTGCAACAATTCCAATGGATTTAAAAATATTACTCTGAGTGAAAAGAGACAAATATGAAAGGCCACATAATAAACTATTTCACATATGCTTTTATGAAACTACAAAACTATAGATGAAAATCGTAGATATGATGCCTGGGGATAGGGGCAAGGGTATGACAAAAGTGTCCATGAAGGTGCTCACTGAGAAGAGAAAACCTTTAAATATCTTGATTACAGTGGTACTACATGACTGTATACATATGCCAAAATTCTTTTTTTTTTAGGTACCGGGGATTGAACTCCGGTCCTTGAGCTTGCAAGGCAGGCCACTTAACCGCTGAGCTAAATCCCCTGCCCCAAAATTCTTGAACTTAGGCAGGATATATATAGCTCAAGACTAGAGGGCTAATCTAGTACTCACAGGCCCTGGGTTCACTCCCCAGTGCTACAAAAAAGGCATTGAATGTTCCACGTAAAAAGTGCGAATTTTGTTAGATGTACATTGTACATCAATATACTTGCCTATTAATTCTAAGAGCAGACCTCCTCTTCCCTATCGCAGCCCTTCCAAATGTAAGTTTGGGTCAACGCTTCAGATCACACCACAGGTGAGGTTCCAGTTTTGTTTGGCCTGAGCCACCACACATTTGTTATCACACGGTGGCTTCTGTGAGTCTGGAATTTGGGCGTGGCTTAAAAGGGTGCTCTGCTCAGGGTCCAACAATCCTGAAGTCAAGACGTTGGTCAAAATTAAGAAATCCTGACGTTCTTATCATGGAATTCAACTGCAGAAGAATCCAGTTCTATGGCCACTTGGGTCTTTGAAATGATTCATTTGCCCACATGTGTAAGGATGAGGGCCCTGGCTTCTTGTTGGTTGTTGGCAGGAAATGGACCTTTTCTCTGAGAGGCTGTCCAAAGTTCTTAGCAGACACTTATACTCCTAGCAAGGTGGGATTTCCTAACATGTCACTAATTTCATCAAGCCAGTCGAGAGAGCCTCACATCTGCTGTCTAGATGGACTCTAATGAAGCTCAGGGTTGACGTATCTCTGAGGCAAAGTGCTCAAAGTGTGTCTCTTCTGGGCCTGTCCTAGGAAAGAAAGGGGCAACCTGGCATGGTGGCACACACCTGTAATCTCAGCACTCAGGAGGCTGAGGCAGGAGGATCACTGTGAGTTCGAGACAAGCCTGGGCTGCATAGTTCCAGGTCAGTCTCAACTACATAGTGAGATCCTATCTTAAAAAAAGAAAAAAACAAAGGGGAAAGAAACGGGCTATTTGAGTTTGGTTGTAAATGTTTAAAAAGCTGTGTTCACCACAACACCAGCTGCAATCTCCCCAGTCCAGGGAAGACGTCTGGCAAACAGCAGCTGCGAATGAGTCATACCTGAGTGTGCTGACCATGTGCAGTGTTGCTCTCAGAGAACTCACTTCCACTTCAGTGGAAGAATGGAGAATTAAGATGGAGGTGGAGACTCCACAGCCCGGGCCACACTCGCATCCACTGGTGGCCTCCTCTGTGCGTAGCACAGTGCCTAACACATATAATGGAATCAGGAAGACTCTGTGAAGTGGGCCAGTGAACAAAACTCTACAAGACATTCACTCGTTCAAGGTCCCTTTATTCTAAAGTGGACAATTATAGAAAAATTGTTATTTACCACTGTAGGGTTGCAAGGCCGAAGTAGAACTGTAAAGCAAACTTGGAAACAAACTGCTTATTCAATGATCAGGGGGTTCTGGTGGAATTATGAATCCCTTGACTGGAGGTGAGCTCACAGCCAACTTCCAGTGATGTCCAAAGGTCTGATGAACGTCTTGCCCCTAGGTCACACCTGCTGGTTACATGTGTTGTTGGAGGAAGGAAAAGTTTTCATGGATAATAGTAGGATTTTCAGTACCATCGGAGCCCATGCATAAAAGTCTCCTTTTCCTTCAAAAGGCTCCGGGTTCACTCCCTGATTCTTGTGTGGAGCTGGGCTGCACCTGTCTAACCAAGTAGGCCTTACTCACTTTGAGGATTATTGCATTATCTGGGGCAATGATTTTGGTAAAATTTCAACTAAAGCTTATGGGACTTGCTCAACAATTTTATTCCCAGAAAACAAGTGATGGATTAACCACAGGTAAACATTATTGCTGTGCAGGTAATTCATTTGTTGAAATTAACAACAATACTCTGTCCCTGGTATATAATAAGCACGAGGAGTACTTGGTGATGAGTAGATGAATCATAAAATCACACACACACACACACACACACACACACACACATACACACAATCTCTATTGATGGAGAACTTGTATTGTAGCATGGAGAAGATACATAAGTAAACCCTAAATTTATATACTTGAGTAGGTAATAGGAGGTGAACAATGGTATGGACATATGAAAGTTCAACAGAGAGCATAAGGGACGCTCAGCTGGAAGTTTAAATCCTGTCCATCGTGGTGTCCCTTGAGTTAAGTGCTTTGCATCTGCAGGATACTTAAGGGCCTCGCCCAGCCACCACCAGCACAGATTCCACACCTACATGTGGAAAACAAGGACTTTGTTCTCCAATTGACTGGGCTGATTGTGTGCACTGTGCCTGTCAGAGAATTCCTTTATGTGTGAACACCTTTCTAACTGAAGAATTAAATGAGAGATGGGGGACTCCATGTCTTGTGGATCCCTCCTGTCTGACAGTGGC